ATGGGGTGACACGTTTAACAATATTTACTCGGCTGCTATGAAGGAGTACTTCTCGACAGTATGACGTCAATGCGGCGTTTCACACAGGAGGTATCAAGTGGCAGAATGGTGACGGCACTGCTGCGCCCAATCCAGTAGCTATCAAATTGCAGACGAAATTGATGAGCCCGGTAAGAGCTTTAACAGCGCGGATCGATGAACTCAGCTGAATCGTACAGGTCCTGAGAGAGATCAAGTCCATCTTGTCTGCGGGCTTGCCGACGATGATCTACACAGGAGTATTCGATGGAAGTTCATGTGACACTCTTGCTACCAGTTTACGACTGATCCAGCTTCGATTCAGGTGGCCACTTGAGCGTTATGGATGCCCTCCATATGGTCGCCTACGAGCCTCTCGAAGAAGCTCCCAGAAAGCTGTGGATGGGCTCAGAGCATCCCTTCGGGTTTGTTCAATCAGGTAGGTCGTGAGGGTCTCTGTTAATAATAAGTCCTTTCCTAGGTGGTGCCCTTACTTTCGTGTGGGTATCCAACTCTGGTCATATGGTTCCGACGGACCAGCCTGAGGCCGCCCTTGATATGATGGACAGATTCGTAAGTCCAAACTTTTGATATCCATGAATGTGGTTGTGTCTTCAGCTTCACAATCGATCGCTTGCTGAGGGAGAGAGAGTTCCAATTAAGGCCGCTGCAGACGCAGAGAAGGTAGAGACTCTCTCCATGCCGAGCGTTGATCACAGAGTGGTGTATTCAGACCCTACTATAGATGCAGTTGGCAGTCAATACTTTTTTGTGATGATGTTGCTAGCTGCTAGGTCATTATGACCAGTTTCTGTGTGAAGAGAGATTTATTTGTGTTACCGAGTCCAAAAAAATAGTATGCCGATGCTTCATTCTCTGATGAGAGGTAGCTAGAAGTATGTTCTGTCTGTACGAGTATCCGCAACCAAATTATCCGGCGGTTAGATTGAACCCACGCAAGAACAAGTCCGCTGGATATCGGACGATATCTATGACCATTCGACTAGTGCGTCCGATATCTGGGGGAAGAGCACCTATGTGAAGCATAGTACACGTACAGCATAACAGTCCATAGTTCGTACGCGAGCCATGCTTATGGTCTCGCACAAAAGTACCTCCTGACTATTTGGGTACCCTAGTAAATCA